AGATGAGAGAGAGAAAGAGAGAGAGAGAGAGAGGGAGAGAGAGAGGAGAGAATCCCTGTTTACGAGGACGACAAAAGCCTTTCAGATTTTTCTAATGAGCAAAAGTGCAAAGCCAACATAGTTTAAAGTACAAAACCCCCTCAGCCAATACCGTTATGGCGTTGCTCTGGTTTGAGTTTTGGTGTAATCTGATAAAAACACCAAAAGATCAAGTTTTGGGTTGGTGGGTGGGGACATCAACTGGGAAACTTGTCCTCTCATTAGTACATTGTATTTGCTGAAACGGTGGACAGCAAATTTGCTTACTGTAATTGATGCAGTGTTGATTCCATTGGATATTTCCATCATCTAAATTTGGCAGGAGAAAGAGAAGGTATGGCAATCCGCCCTCTGGACTATAATGGCTTTTTTTTTTTTCCATGTATAAGAGAGTAGATTTACTAAAAAGAAGCAATTTTGATTTTTGGATATCTGAAAATCATTGCAGAGACCACAATAAGCAACTCATTTATTATTTTTGTTCTAAAAAGAGGAAGAAATATCAGCATTGTTGTCGTAACCATAACCATTATCTGGAAAGAATAAACAATGCACGAAAACTGATACATTAATTGCCCTGATGATTATCTGAAAGTTTATATTACACAAGCCTTTCATCATAATTTACTCATTGTCCAATTGTTGTGAAGCTTTACCTTTCTGATTCCTCTTCTAGGAAAGGGTGGCCTTAAAGTCGGGAGTTTAGTGTTACAGACGTTTTATTTTCTGCTTAATTGGCCTGCTGATAATTACTTACCATCTGATGTTTTACATGTGGCCTACTATTGGTGATTTTCCTCCGCTAAAGCCACCAGACATTGTATTCATTTTCATGATTGTCAACAGAAGTGGTCAATTCCCAAATGGCATTTCAAGTTTGTTGCTTAAAGGCCAACGTAACCAAGATCCTCTATTAATTGTCTCCAAAGATTGTCCACATCAAAACTTGAAGTACAATCTAAGAAGAACACACAGTTTAGCCTTCACCTATAAACGTAGCATCTAAACATTGCGTTTCACCCGAATGCATCCGAACCATGAATCTCCCAGATTTTGTTGCTGTTTTCTTTCTGTTCCTAATGTGGAATTTTCTGTTATTTGGTAATTTCATAGAAATACTATGTTTTGTTTCCATAGTTCTTCTGTTAGTTAAAGTAGATTCATATTTTTCAATGTCAACATTGCCCCTGAACTTTATTGTACACTGGCACTAAATCATAAATCATATTGCAGGACATGGAATGGCACATACGGTAACATTTGACATACGCAATAAGTGCCCCTTCCCCATATGGCCAGCAACTGCTCCCAACAATGGACAGCCAGTGATAGCTGATGGCGGCTTCTATCTCCCAGCCGGTCAGACTCGGCGCATTTCTGCCCCTTGGTCATGGAACGGTCGGATTTGGGCCCGAACTGGATGCAACTTTGCCTCAAACTGGAATCCTGCATGTGAAACAGGAGACTGTGGTGGTCGCTTGGCATGCAATGGACTAATAGGCACTCCACCAGTGACATTAGTGCAAGTTTCACTTCAAGGTGACAAAGACAGGCCAAATTTCTATGATGTGAGCTTGGTTGATGGATACAATCTTCCTGTTGCAGTCTTGTCAAAGCCAGTAGCATCTAATTGTGGCATTGGAGGGTGTTTGAAGAATTTGAAAAGTTGGTGCCCAGAAGAACTGAAGGTCTTAAACTCCAAGGGGGAAGTGGTGGCTTGCAAAAGTGCTTGCTTGGCTTTCAACACTGACCCGTTTTGTTGTAGGAATGAGTATGGAACCCCAGCAAAATGCAAGCCAAGTGTGTACTCAAAGATATTCAAAGATGCTTGCCCTTCTTATTATAGCTATGCTTATGATTCACCCCCTCCATTGGTGACTTGCAAGTCAAGTGAGTATGTGATCACCTTTTGTCCTTCAGGCTGGGGCACTGATGCCTATACCTCCATATAGACTAGTTTGCTTCATTTGTGGTAATCTAGCTAGTTTCGCATTTGAATAAAATGTAATTTTCATTGTATCAGTATAGTTTTTCTTTTGGGTGGAGTATAATTATTGCTTTTAATTGCAATGGTTATGCTAAATTTGGACTTTGAAATTGGATTTGTATACAATATAATAATATTCCTCATGTAACTTTTGAACAAGTTGGAATCCTCGGTTTAATTTTTATGTTTATCTTCACTTAATTCTCAATTTTTTCATATTTACAAGCTAACTATTACGGGAGATGCTACAATGAGAGGGATTTTGAAGAGGGGGTTCAATCCAATCATTTAAAAAGTTTAAGTCCAATATTTTCCCTCTCTTATTGGATAGTGGGATTGAACCCCTCCCTCAACCCTCTCATTATGACATTTACAAACAATTAGCTTAGAGGTACTTATCTTCCCAATATTAAAGATGTCCCAAATTCGAAATCCACCCTCCTTGATTTAATAAAAACCTCTCTGAATTTTTGAGGGAGAAGAGCTAAGGTCCAAACCAACATGTCCATAATTCAGTGATATTTCTCTCCAAATATTAAAAGAGGTCTCGAGTTAATTCTCTGTCCCATTCGATAAATAAATATAAGAAGTAAAAGAAGAGCCAAGGCTCAAATAATGTTGTTATTGTTTGGGTTCACTTGTGGACCTTACACGTATAGATACGGGCTTTGACAGTGCGAATATGTTTGAACTTCACGAGGCCCATTTATGCCCCACAGCCCATATCAACATCGAGAACCTTCACTTCGCATTAGGGTTTCGAAACCTCAGCCAATAGACCTATATAAATACGCGCTTGTAGAATTCAGAAGCATCGTCTTCTTCTTTTCGACTTAGGGTTTGGTTTCAACATCAGCGCACAAGCACACACACACACACAAAATCTCTTTTCTCCTCTGTCCTCCGGTTTTCCTTTTTCTGAGAATCGAATTTCAAATCAGCTGATGAGAAAAATACTGCAACAATATGATGGATACGCTCCAATTTCCATGATTCTTTGTATTTAAGTCTCTGATGATTTGTTTCGTTCCTTCATCTTCACCAATTTTTTTTATTTATATTCATGAATTTTTTTTAAAAAAATTTCCAAGTGATATGATGAGGAACTTATTGGTCCGTGTTTCTGATTTAACCGTGACCGACAAACCTTAACCAACTCTGATCGCTCTTTTATACATACGCTCAATTTAATTTGAAGTTTTTGAAATTTTTCCTGCTTTTTAGTGGTTGCTCTGTGATTACCTGCCTGAAATGGGCAATATACGCTATTCCGATTATTACATGACCGGAGAAACTTCTAGAGAATGTATGAGAGTTAGCTGCTAAATCTTGTTTTTTTTTCTTTTCTTGCTTTTTCTTTATGCCTGTCTTATTCTGCGGTGATGAATTCTGGATAAATTTCACATGTCAGACTTCAGAGATTTCACAATCAATGAGAATTAAAATTCTAGTTTTCTGAGCAGAATTTGTTGATTTCATGAAACTGTTTTCAATTTTGTTGAAAAAGGGTTTAAGGATTTTGATTTGTATGTAATGTGACGTGAGATTTCTGTCTCGAATTCTCATGCTTTTGAATGGGAGCAAGAAGTAATTGTGATTGTAGATTCCCAAGTAAGCGTCACAAAGCAAGCCATGTAACGTCGACCGGTCCTCCGTCCCATTCGTGGGAGGGAGCTCCTCCGTTACGGGGCGGTCTCATATTCCATCGCCTTGTGGAGCAGCGTTGCTGCCTTTACCATTTGGGACATGCCATGAGACGTACATTCTGTTTTCACACAAGAACAGACAGTTTCAGGATTTGAACATTTCACAAGTTACTTCTTGGGCCTTGCTATATTTGGCCACGGGTTTAGGCTTTACCCTTGCCAATTGGCTAAATCCGGATGAGTAAGATCTCCTAAAGATTGCACGTTACGAAGTAAATGAAGTTGAATTAGCTGGCAGATTTCGAGCTGATTGTACCTCAGAAATTTCACCAGAACTAGGACCAATACTCTTGAAATAATGTGGTTGGATATTGCTATTTTGCTACCCCGTCTGTAGTTTTATGATGCAGTGCTAATACTTTCATATGACATTGCATTAATACTTTCATATGACATTGCATTATTGATCGAGAAGTTTTTCTCCGAGCGAGGTGATATTTTAACCTTGAGTACAAACATCCTCTCCTCGTATATGCATATTTGGTGTGATTGTCCAAACTTACTAGTTCCAAATGTACCGACTAGACGTGAGGGGTGAAATGGTAAAGGACATTGTTTTCAATAGATTATAGCTAATTGGAGTAAGTAACCTTTAGAATGGTCAAACACAGTTGGCTGGGAAAGGCTCTTTCTAATTACCAAAATCAAAATTTAGTCGTGGAAGGTTCAAGGAAACTGCGTCTCTCTCAGATGGAGAGAGTCATATTTTGTTTGCCTGTGAGTTCTTTCTTGATCACCAAGATATACCTTCTCTTCTTCCTTACATAAATACAAACTCGTCTGTGTAATAGCAAAAAGAAATCCCGTCCATACTTGTTTCCTTCATCAATTTCAACAAACAGTGCAGTGGAGGAAGATGATGAAGATGGGGGAACTGTGGACACAGCTGGGCTCAGTGGCGGCCAGCATGATGTTTGCTTATGCCATGTTCAAACAATTCTTCCCAGACGATCTTGGCAACATCCTTGAAAAATATACCCAAAAATTGGTGGGTTATGTCTACCCTTACATCCAAATCTCCTTTGATGAATACACAGTTGAGTTTTTAAGACGCAGCGAAGTTTATTCTTCCATCCAAAGCTACCTCAGCACCAAGTCCTCCACCAGAGCAAAACGCCTCAAGGCTCTCGATGTTAAGGGCAGCAAGGCCCTTGTTCTCGGCATGGACGACAACGAAGAGGTCACCGATGAGTTTCAGGGCATCAAGCTCTGGTGGGTTTCAATGAAAAGTGCGTCTAAGAAGTCATCTTTTTCTTTCTATCCTGAGTACGAAGATAGGAAGCAGTACAAGTTGACCTTCCACAGACGCCACAGGGATATTGTGATGAGGTCTTATCTGGACCATGTGAGGCAAGAAGGGAAGGCAATTGCAGTGAGCAATAGGCAGCGCAAGCTTTACATCAACAATACAGGGAAGGGTGCCAAGTGGAGCCACGTAGTGTTTGAGCACCCTGCAACATTTGAGACCTTGGCAATGGACCCGAAAGAGAAGCAATCGATCATCGATGATCTCATGAAGTTCAGCAAGGGGAAAGACTACTACAAGAAAATTGGCAAGGCTTGGAAGCGTGGATATCTTCTCTACGGGCCACCGGGCACGGGCAAGTCTACCATGATCTCTGCCATGTCTAATCTCATGAACTATGATGTCTATGATCTAGAGTTAACGGCTGTCAAGGACAACACCGAGCTGAGGAAGCTATTGATTGACATAACTGGTAAGGCGATTATCGTGATCGAGGACATTGATTGCTCTCTTGATCTGACCGGACAACGAAAGAAGAAGAAGCAAGTGGAGGAAAAAGATGGGGATGAAAAGGACCCAATTCCTAAAAGGCCTGAAGAAGAAGATGCCACAACGAGCAAGGTCACTCTGTCTGGACTGTTGAACTTTATTGATGGGATTTGGTCAGCTTGTGGAGGGGAGAGACTGATTGTATTCACCACAAACTATGTGGACAAACTTGATCCTGCTCTCATTAGAAGGGGAAGGATGGACAAACATATTCAGCTGTCCTACTGTTGCTTTGAAGCATTCAAAGTGCTTGCAAGGAATTATTTGGATGTAGAATCACATGAGTTGTTTGGAACCATCGAGCGTTTGTTGGGGGAAACCGATATGACTCCGGCTGATGTTGCTGAGAATTTGATGCTCAAATCTGATACAGAGGATGCAGACTCTTGTTTGAAGAGCTTGATTGAAGCACTCGAGGCTGCTAAGGTGGAGGCAAGAGTGAAGGCAGAGGAAGAAGCAAGAGTGAAGGCAGAGGAAGAAGCAAGAAAGAAGGCAGAGGAAGAAGCAAGAAAGAAAGTAGAGGAAGAAGCAAAATTGAAGGCAGAGAAAGAAGAGAAAGAGAAGGCAAAATCTGGTAATTCTAAAGATGAAGTGAAATGTAATGGAACAAAAGATGAAGTGAAAGGAACATCGGTTACAGAAGTAAAAGAAAATGGTGTGACCCCGTGAAGAAGTCATTATGCCCATTGAACAAGGCATCAGGCCGTCACCTCTTGAAGATGTGACTTGTAGTCTTTATTTGTCATATGAAAGATGTCAACTATATATATATATATATATTTGTTCTGCGAGACAATAGGGGATATTCATTAATGAACATGGCAATTACAGAAAATTGGTGATGAACAACACCCTACACAAAGAGGGATCCAACCAAACTAATAGTGCACATATCAATCACTAGACCAGTACAACCCCAATTCAAGAGAAGCCAACACAAAGATAAAACAGAGCATATATAGCAAGTAATATCAGTGCAAACAGACCGAGCAAAGCACACAAATTGCCACAGCTTAGAGAAGGAGACAGCGCCCCAAGAGAAGGAGCATAACCACTCAAATTCCTCCTACATTGCTCCACCAGTCCATTATTCCTATGAGCATAGATACAACTTCTTGATTGTCGCTTGCAAGTGCAACCACAAAACGTACCTTTGTAGCCCATATTAGTAGACCTCCAGAATTTCCCTAGTTTGCAGAACCGAACGGCATGACAAGCATCCTCATAAGATTTTCCACGCCTTGAACAGACCTGAGACGAAATCACCTTCCGCTTGAACAAATGGACAGCAGTTGGCAATATGCTGGAGCTTGCCCGCCATATCAGCATTTTAATCTTATTTGGGACACGCCCATTAATCTAGTGGCTTCTTGTTCCACAGAGACTTGAAATTTCCTCCTTGAGATCTGGCAGTTTTGGTAGTTTTGGTATGTTTTCCATTGAAAGCCATCCCTTGCTGAATCAAGTACAACTTGTGCCTCAAAAGTGCTATTTGATCTCCCAGAGTCTCTATAGGAAACAAAAGTCAACCAAATTATCAGTAATTGTTTGTTGGTCTCATATTATAACTAGAAT